TTTTTAAACAATGATACCTAGTTCTAGATTGCCCCAACAAGAGGAAACACTCAGTCAACATCCACTCCATTTAAATCCCCTCAAGACATTATATGATTTAATTAAGTCACCTCCCGACTCTAAGCTCCACAGGGTATGTGCCCAGCCTGTCCAACTTTTCCTCATAAGGCTACCACTCATTTCAGGTATTAGTTATTAATGATTACATTTCCAAAGTATTTCACTGGCTTTAGCTTGCTTTGAGATGTCCTGAAGTAGCAAAATGTGCTGTATTAATGTAAATTCTTCTTTTGTTTTCATTTTGTAAATGCTTCAGGACTTTTAAAGAATTTAATAAGATCATGCAAACAAATAACTAATTCCCAATTTGCACTGTCCCTCCCTAGCTTGGCTATCTGACATGGACAAACCTTGTGATCAAAGCACTGGATTTTTACCGATGATGTACAATTGATCCCTCTTTAATCAATATCATTCAGTTCATCTTATTGTAGATTACAAGGAAGAGAGAAACTTAATTCTCCAAACGTTGTTATGATGAGTTTTCTTTTTCTAATCTGAATGGAGTTCAAAATAAACGCATAATGTAATGTAATCCTGATGTCTCTCTCTGTTAAGGCTGATTTCTTACACTACAGATAAAGAAAGAATAAAGGAAGACTTGCATTTGTAGACTACAAGTTGAAAGGAGACGGCCATAATTATTAGACATTTCAGCAACTGTGTCACCAAGGACACAGTATCATGAAATTTAGGAATGTATCAGAGACAAGTTCACTGGAATTGGGAAAGTAACAAATTTAACTTTTGTTTTGTTCCAAGTTGTACTTCACAGGAGTTAGAAGGATTATATTGTCTGAATAGTCGTAATTCAGCAGAATAGTTGGAATTATAAGGGCAAAAGTAAGTTTGAGAGAAAAAAAGAGACACACAGAAAGAAAATGTGAATGAGAAAAAGCAGTAAAGTTCCTTGGAATATGCTTTTGTTGCCCATTGCCTTTAACTCTTCTAACTGTCAATCTGACACTTAAGTGCCTTTGCAGTTTCAGAAGTTTGAGCTTTACACTCTTGGCACATCCCTCGAGTCAAACTATTGCAACTGATTTAGAGATAGGTATAGGTTTATAAACAAGGTGTAGTTGATAGTGCATGGTATTATTACTGTAGGCATGGTAGGAACACGTCAGTTCTACCTGCTCCAAGAAATGTTCCAGTTGTTGCTGGAGAGACCTTCAAGAGCCAATTCAAGGGGAAGGGATTCAATTGGTTCGGCAGCACACCACCTGGTGCAAATGGGCAGGTAATATTGGACGAACACAATTTCTTTAGTAAGCAGTAACTGACATGAAAACCACATCAGCATCATTGTGTATTCAAAGTACAATCAAGGTACACACTCTCACTTGCACATCACTCATTTTGCAGTTTAGAGTTGAGTAGTGCATTTAAAAATCATCACTACCATGCCCTCCCCAAAACTTTAAAAAAAAATTGTTTTAGTAGGAACCACAGGACACTTAATGTTCAGCACCTACCCTTGGCTGTATGACATAATGGTGTAATTTTGCATAAGAACATTCTGTAACATGTTTGAGGGGACAAAGTTGGTCTACTTATCAACATAGAATTAAAAGCTGGAGTAGACTATTCAGTCTCTTTAGCCTGTTCTGCCTTTTGAAAAGAACATGGCTGACCTGAATGTGGCATCAACTCTAGTTTCCTACCTACCCCGATACCCTTTGACCCTGCTGGTAGTCAAGAATATTTCTAACTCTGCTATCAAAATATTCAAAGGACCCTACTGCCACATTGTTTGCGATGAAGTCTTCCACAGTCTCAGAAAAAAAACTTTCCTCATCTGTTGTAAATGTGAGATCCCCTATTTCAGAGACAACAAGATGCAGGGCTGGATGAACACAGCAGGTCAAGCAGCATCATAGGAGCAGAGAGACTGACGTTTCGGGCCTTGACCCTTCATCAGAAAAGGGGGAGGGGAAGGGAGTTCTGAAATAAATAGGGAGAGAGTGGGAGGCGGATAGAAGATGGATAGAGGAGAGGATAGGTGGAGAGGAAACAAACAGGTCGAAGAGGCGGGGATGGGGCCAGTAAAGGTGAGTGCAGGTGGGGAGTTAGGGAGGGGATAGGTCAGTCCAGGGAGGACGGACAGGTCAAGGGGGCGGGATGAGGTTGATCGGTAGGCGATGGAGGTGCGGCTTGAGGTGGGAGGAGGGGATAGGTGGGAGGAAGAACAGGTTAGGGAGGCAGGGACAAGCTGGACTGGTTTTGGGATGAGGTAGTGGGAGGGGAGATTTTGAAACTTGTGAAATCCACATTGATACCATTGGGCTGCAGGGTTCCCAAGCGGAATATGAGTTGCTGTTCCTGCAACCTTTGGGTGGCATCGTTGTGGCACTGCAGGAGGCCCAGGATGGACATGTCGTCTGAGGAATGGGAGGGGGAGTTGAAATGGTTCGCGACTGGGAGGTGCAGTTGTTTATTGCGAACCGAGCGTAGGTGTTCTGCAAAGCGGTCCCCGAGCCTCCGCTTGGTTTCCCCGATGTAGAGGAAGCCACACCGGGTACAGCGGATGCAGTATACCACATTGGCAGATGTGCAGGTGAACATCTGCTTGATGTGGAAAGTCTTCTTGGGGCCTGGGATGGGGGTGAGGGAGGAGGTATGGGGGCAGGTGTAGCACTTCCTGCGGTTGCAGGGAAAAGTGCCGGGTGTGGTGGAGCTGGAGGGGAGTGTGGAGCGGACAAGGGA